GTGTGTACTCTGTGTAAGTGTGTGTGTGTGTTTGTGGGAAAGTTGTATAGATGGGGGTCTGGGGTGGTGGTGAGGTAGGTATCCGGGCAGTAGTAACCAGACTTGTTGACATGAGATCAGCTGACTGTTGTGGACGCTAACACTCCACCCTAGTGTCCTCTCCTTCCTCTTCTTCCCTCCCTCCTCTTCCCTCCTCCCTCCTCTTCCCTCCTCCCCTCCCTCCTCCCCTCCCTCCGTCCCCTCCCCTTCACCTGTGGGATCATCCAGGCTGTTACCGCCACCACGTATCACACACACACACACACGCGCGCTTCAGGATGTCATTCTCCCAATTTGTTGGATACACGGGGTAATTTTTGTCAGGGTTAGTTGATCCATTGTGAACTGTTATATTGGATGTGGTGGGGGACCTGATACATACATACATACATACATACATACATACATACATACATACATACATACATACATAGACATATTGTCATACATACATACATTCATAGATATACATGCATTCAAACATACATACCACTCCAACCCACCTCTAACCTACCCCCACACCCAACCCACTCCACCACCCCACACTCCACCCCACACCCACCTCCCACCCTCACCCCACTCCACGTTTCCGGTAGATGTGACGAGAGGAAAATACGATCTTTTTTCTTTTTTTATGCCTCAGCGGCCTTTTGTTTTATCCAGTGAGCGTAAGAAGCTTGGTGGTGAGCTGTGGTTCTCATTGTGGTCGTAACAATAGGGGAGGGGTGAGGTGGGGGGGGGAGGGGGGGGAGGGACTGTGTGTGTGTGTGTGTACTTTAGCAGAGAGAGAGAGAGAGTGAGTTTATGCAGATTTACAGATAAATATATAAAAAATAAATTGAAAAGACTAGAATTAAAACGACGGCCGGGGGGGGGGTGTTTGGACGGGTGGGTGCTAGAATAGACGGGTAGTACCTAGGAACACCGCTACCGTCCATTAAAGTAACTGTCGGTGTTAGGACAAGGTGGGCTAATATGGTAATTGATAGGATGGGAGACCAGGTGAGGAGGGAGGGAGGGAGGTGGAGACGAGGTTAAGAAGGAGGGGAAAGGGTGTTGATGGAGGGCTGATGAAGTTTAACAGAGAGGGGGGGGAGACTGGTGGGGAGGGGGGAAGGGAGGGAGGGAGAGGGGTGGGTGTCGGGGAACATGGACCAGGTGTTGAGTTGTGGTCCTTCTGTGGGTACGGTTGGAGGTGAGGTGAGGGGGGTAACTTGTCTTCACCCTTACTGACTTCCCTCCTCTTCCTTCCCTTCCTCCCCTCCCCTGTCTTAACTTCGCCTCTACCATTAATTTTTTTATTTACGTCTATTTATTTATTAACAGGAAAGACTATAAACCCGATTGGTTTATTGTGTTTATATTATATATCTTCACTACTGTGTTCCTGTATCATGTTAAACCCGGGCCTGTGTGTGTGTGTTTTATTCGTGTTGGGTTTAATATTTCATTGTGGGTCGAGTTTTTTTTGTTTTATTTTTATTATTAACCAAAGGAATGTTCTTGGTGGTGGTAGTTGTGGTTGAGGGAGGGGGTGGTTGGTGGAGGGGAGTGGTTAGGTTAGGTTGGTTTAGGTTAGATAGGATAGGATGAGTGTTTTTAAGATTATATACAAATGTTTGGTGATTGTTAGTTATGTAGTGATGATAGCAGCTGATTATAGTGGTGGGAGCAGGTGTGGGAGGTAGTAGTGGTGGTAGCAGGTGTGTGAGGTAGTAGTGGTGGTAGCAAGAGCAGGTAGCAGCAGGTGTGTGATGTAGGTGGAGAGAGAGAGAGAGAGAGAGAGAGAGAGAGAGAGAGAGAGAGAGAGAGTTAATGAAAGACTCTCACCTGTGTTGGTGTAATGGTCAGGTGCTTCGGATGGCGTTAGCAGCTGATGCCTTCCCCTTCCATCCCCTTCTCTCCCACCCCCTCCTCCCTAAAGTGCGGGCCGTATCATACTGTTATGTACTGACTTTGTTGACCCGTGTGTGTGTGTGTGTGTGTGTGTGTGTGTGTGTGTATACCAGCATACAGTATATTACACAGTATATGAATATGCCGTATAAACCCTCCCCACCCCTCCCCACCCTCCCCACCCCCTCCTCCCTCCTTCCCTCCCAGTTATTTTAATATTTTGTTTGTTTGTCGCTGTAAATGTCAAACTGGGTGTACCAAAGAGGTGGGTCGTATGTGTATTAATATCATAAATATATATAATATATACAATGTGTGGCCCAAACTTTCTGACTGGGTGAACTTTTTCATTTTGGTTCTGTGTTGCGGCGCGTGTTGTTCCTGGGGTGTTGTGGTGGTGGTGGTGGTGGTTGTGGTGGTGGTGGTGGTGGTTGTGGTGGTGGTGGTGATGGTGGTGGGTTGTTGTGGTGGTTGTGGTTGTTGTGGTTATGGTTGTTGTTGTTATTATCATTCCGTCTCTATCCTCCTTCTTTTAACCCTTTTTCCTTTCCCTTGTCATTCTCCTCCCTTTCCTTCCTTTCTCACCCTCCTCTTAATCTCTTCCTTTTCCCACTCTTTCCTCCTCCTCCTCCTCCCTTCCCTCCTCTCCATCCTTCTCCCTATATTTATCAACCCTTTTCCCATTCCTTTTCTTCCTCCGATTATTACCCTCTTCCCCACACCCTCTCTCTCTCTCTCTCTCTCTCTCTCTCTCTCTCTCTCTCTCTCTCCTCCGTCCACTTACACAATGACCGCTGCTGGCCGACAAGGGGAACATTTTTACTGGTGTTTGATGGTTTTTTAATTCTCCTTTAAAGAGAGAGAGAGAGAGAGAGAGGAGGGAGAGAGAGAGAGGCTATTCTCACCCTTCTTCCTCCTCCCTTTACTCTCCCTCTCACTCGCCCTATTCTCTCCCCTCCCTGATACTGACTCCAGCCTCATACACACACACACACACACACACACACACACACACACACACACACACACACACACACCAGGGTAAACCGTGAGGTGGTGAAACGCTCATTCAAACTCTTTGATTTATGACAGTGATAAGAGATGACAGTAGGGAAGGGGGTCGTGCCTGGTCTGGTGAGTGGGTTGACAGACAGACAGATAGACAGACACGCAGACAGCTGAGGTGTGTGTGTAAGGAGGGAAGGAAGGTCATGATAGCGCTAACCCACTTCGCTGTATAAGACTGGTGTTAGTAAGTGTTAATTTAGTCTCTCTCTCTCTCTCTCTCTCTCTCTTAACTACGTGTTAATCTCCCTTATTACTCCCTGTTATCCTCCCTTCATATGCCGTGTTAATCTCCTTCTTCCGCCCTTTACCTCTTAATCAACACAGCCCCGCTACCTGCCTCTATCTCTCTCTCTCTCTCTCTCTCTTCCCCTTCCATCTCAATCACCCTTTTTTCCTTGTTCCCCTTTATCTTCCCTTCCTATCTTTCCGTGTTTACTCTCTCTCTCTCTCTTGGTAGTGTGGGTGGGGAAGGTATGGTGGTGATTGTTGGAGGTGGTGTGGTGGAGAGGCGGTGATGGAGAGAGGTGGTGATGGAGAGAGGTGGTGATGGAGAGGCGGTGATGGAGAGAGGTGGTGATTGGTGGTGTGGTGGAGAGAGTGGGTGATGGAGAGAGGTGGTGATTGGTGGTGTGTGAGAGACGGTGATGGTGGTGATTGGTGGAGAGAGGGACGTCGTATTTCTTTCAATTTTCTGATTCTATTTTATTCATTATTCCTAGTTTAACTCTTTTTCCTTTGTCTTATATATCATCACTTTCCCTCCTCCTCCTCCTTTCTTTCTTCTCCTTTCTCTTCTTGTTGCTCTATTTTCCCTCATTTATCCCGTTTTACCTCTCCTCTTACCTGTTCTTCACTCTTCCATCTACTTATTCTCTTCCTTTGTCCTTCCTCCCTCTTCTCCTTTGTACTGTGTGTGTGTGTGTGTGTGTGTGTGTGTGTGTGTGTGTGTGCCCTCTCCCCTCCTTCTCGCCTACAATAATTTCTCACTATTTTTATTCTTCCGTCTTCCTCTTATCCTTTACTCCTCGTGCTGGGATAATTAAGAGAGAGAGAGAGAGAGAGAGAAACAGCTACCGGGATAATCATCATTTTCTCCCTCCTCCTCGTGTTGTTCTCCTCTTCTTTGTTCTTTTCTTCTCCTCTTTCTTTGCTCCCTCCTCCTCCTCCTCCTCCTCTGTCTTCTCCTCTCCCCCATTCCATTCTACGGTAGGGAAATAAATGGCTCAGGTGACATTAATGGACAGGTGGGATTTACAGGTTAATTAGGCCAGTTGACAGGGCATGAGGTGACTGACAGGTAAATGTATTGTGATTTATTAATACAACACGGACGGGAAATAATGTATTTTGATTTATTGAGGTGAAGGTGGGATTAATTTTTTTGTAATGCTATGGTAAGTAGGTAGTAGTTGTTTGTTTGTTTGCTTGTTTTTGTTTGTTGTTTACTTACCTATGTTTTGTTTGGTAATTTTATCTTTAATTTAAGAGTTGAAAAATATTTGATTCCAGGAAGTCAATGGAATCACCTGAAGAATAACCTAACCTGACCTGACCTGACCTGACCTGACCTGACCTTACCTAACCTTACCTTACCTTACCTGACCTTACGTGACCTTACCTTACCTTACCTTACCTGACCTTAACCTAACGTAACACTATTTGGGAGGGAGGGTAGGTTAGTGTTAGTTTAAGTTAGGTTAATATTTAGGTGAAATAAGCTGGGGTGGAGATTCTTCAGGTGGTCAAGCTTAATACTATATAATCCCAAAAGTAATAATGTTTTTTTTTTTATGTTTATCGAAATTGTAAAGTGGCAAACAAATTGATTCATTGTTTGTAGTCGAGTGTGTGAGACATAAACAGTGTGATTCATCCTGTTTTAGTCTCTATTGCATTTATAAGAAAGCAAACAACTGTCAGGGCATATTTTTGTTTATGTGTAAGCAAGAGTGACGTAAACAAGTGGAGTTTATAGCGTGTTTGTTTTGTGTTTACAGGGTCCCCAGGCGCCTGCCGGTCCTGGTCAGCTTAAATTCACCATCGCCGAGACCTGTGACCGTATCAAGGAAGAGTTCAACTTTCTACAGTCCCAGTATCATGCGTGAGTACCTGTGTGTGTGTGTGTGTGTGTGTGTGTGCAATTATTAATGTATACTGTATATATGTGCTTTCCCGCCTTTCTTAGTAATCCTCTCACGTGCTGGCTGTGTCCTTTTCCCCTCTTTGAAAGACCATTGTCGTGTTTGGCAGGTGGTGTCCGCCTGAGTGGTGGTGAGGTGGAGGGAATGGTGGTGGTGTAGTGGCGTTTGGTGGGTGGTGGTGGTTGTGGGTGGAGGAGGTAGTAGTGGTGGCGTGTGGTGTAGGGAGTGTTGGAGATGGTGGTGTGGTGGTGGAGGTAGTGTTGGAGATGGTGGTGGAGGTAGTGTTGGAGATGGTGGTGGAGGTAGTGTTGGAGATGGTGGTGAGGTAGTGTTGGGATGGTGTGGTGTGGGGTTGGGTGGAGGTAGTGTTGGAGGTGATGGCGCTGTCTGACTTAATCTGATTACTGACAAATAACTCCCGGGATCTCTCTCTCTCTCTCTCTCTCTCCTTCCCCTTCCCTTACCGTTTTTTCTCCTGTTCTCATTATTCCTCTCTCGTCTTCACCCCATTCTCCCAACCTCCCCTCTCACTTTCTTTCTCTCTCTCCCTCTCTCCTTTCACCCCTCTCCGGTACACTCCACGAACTATGAGGCTCATTATGGAAGGGGGAGAGGGGAAAAAAGTAAGATTATGAAGGGGGGGGGAAGGGGTAGAGTGCTGTGGGGGATTATTGAGCCAGGCGTGGGGAGAGAGGGGAGGGGCCGTTTTATGGAGGGTGATATAACAAGCTGCTGCTGGGCTTGGGTAGTGAGGAGGAAGAGAGGGAAGGGTGAAGAGAGGAGGGAAGGTGAAGAGAGGAGAGGAGGGAAGGAAGGAGAGGAACCGAGAGGAAATTTTTAAGGAGTTAATTTGGTCCTAACTTAATGGTGTAAAGGTGGTGGTTGGAGGATGGTGATGGTAGTGGTTGGAGGATGGTGATGGTAGTGGTGGTGGAGGATGGTGATGGTAGTGGTGGAGGATGGTGATGGTAGTGGTGGAGGATGGTGATGGATGGTGATGGTGGTGTCCCTCAGGTCCACTAACACCATTCGTCACATGGCCACTACTCCTGGCATCATCCACCACGCTAAATGATATTCTGGCCACATGTGATGCTCCCATTACTGTTATTGTGGAGGGGGGAGAGGGAGGAGGGGGATGGAGAGAGGGGGGAACGGAGAGTGATAATGATGATAATTGGAGAGGATGATAGTGGGGGTGAGCCACCGCCCCTCCGACGATCAATGGATCTATAATTAGATTAACTGGGTGTACTTTAACGTTCTGAGTTATTATCCCCTAGACTGTAGAAGATGTCTGAACTGCCACCCAGGCTAAGAGGGGTGGATGAGGGGGGTGAGGGGTGATGAGGGGGGGGAGGGTGATAGGAGGCGATATCACCCCTTTCACACACACATGGGAGGTGTGGAGGGTGACAAGCATGGTGGGGGGAGCTCCGGCGCACACGAGGAATAAACTAGTTTGGGCAGTAGTTCCCCCTCACACAGAGACGGTAGTTTATATCGCAAGTCTTACAGCAGTTGTGGGTCATTAGTGCAGGGAAGGAGTCATTAAGTTGAAATTTTGCCGTGTAGTGCAGTTGTGGGGCGTTATAGTACAGTGTGTTGGGGGGTGGTCTACCTGGTGATTAAGGCCACCTGTCACGTGTTGAGGTGTGTGTGTGTGTGTGTGTGTGTGTGTGTGTGTGTGTGTGTGTGTGTGTGTGTGTGTGTGTGTTAGTCGCCGTCGTCTGAGCTGAATCACCCTATTGATGGTGATATATACAAACACATCGACCAGTGAAGGATGTGGCCCCGTGTGTGTGTGTGTCATGTACCAGTGTCACACCTCACCACCGTGTCATATACCCAGTTACAAGGCGCTTTATCAGGCGCCAGTGTGTCATATATTAGTGGAAGATGCCTGAGTTGGGTGTGTGTCGTATAGAAGTGTCATGACACCTAGGTCTTATGGTGTGTAAGGAGGACGTGTGTGGATTGGGACCCCCCTTAGTACTGACACACACACACACACACGCACACATATGTAAGGGTTTAAGGTTTAAGACGTGTAGCTACCTATTATTCTCCTCCTCACCATAAAACAAGATAAGGTTTAAGGTTTATACTGGGAATTACATACGAACCTCTCAATTCAACAGCGGGTAGAACTCGGGAGCGCCCCTTTTGAAGATCACTCACACTTAGGGCGTTGTTTTAAAAAGAGTATATGAAGAGGGTGTGCGGTGCGAGGGAGGGGACGGCTAGGTAGAGAGAGAGAGAGAGAGCAACACAATCCTGCCAAGGGAACGTAGGAACCCCTGGGGAGCCATGATAAGCAGTGAGAGGATTCCTTTCTTCCACGATCGAGTCATCTTGTTTTTGTGATGTGAATTGACTGGTTCTTTTATTTCCCCTTTCTTTCTCTTCCCTTTTTCCTTCCTTCTCCTTTTTCCACTCCCTTCTCTTCTACTCCCTCCTTCCCCACCTACTGAACACCGACGAAGAGAGAGAACACGGCACATTGCCTCATAGTGTAGCTTTTGTGAGTTTACAAGGTGTGCATAACAGGAGAGGGGAGAGGGAGGGGAGGGGTAGAGGGGAGGGGAAGGAGAGGGGTAGAGGGAGGGAAGGAGAGGGGGAGGGAGGGGAGGGGGAGGGAGGGAAGAGAGGGGTAGAGGGAGGGAAGGAGGGGAGGGAGGGAAGGAGAGGGGAGAGGGAGAGGGGAGAGGGGGGAGAGGAGGGAAGGAGAGGGGGAGAGGGAGGGAAGGAGAGGGGGAGGGGAGAGGGAGGGAAGGGAGGAGGGGAGAGGGGTAGGGGAGGGGGAGGGGTAGAGGGAGGGAAGGAGAGGTAGGAGGGAGGAAGGAGGTAGAGGAGGGGGAAGGAGGGGAGGGGGAGAGGGAGGGAAGGAGAGGGGAGGGAGGAAGGAGAGGGGAGAGGGAGAAGGGAGAGGGGGAGGGAGGAAGGAGAGGGGGGAGAGGGAGGAAGGAGGGAAGGGGAGAGGGAGGGAAGGAGAGGGTAGAGAAGGGAGGGGTAGAGGGAGGGAAGGGAGGGGTGAGGGAGGGTAGAGGGAGGGAGGAGAGGGTAGAGGAGGGAGAGGGTAGAGGGAGGGAAGGAGAGGGTAGAGGGAGGGAAGGAGAGGGTAGAGAAGGGAGGGGTAGAGGGAGGGAAGGAGGGGTAGAGGGAGGAAGGAGAGGGGTAGAGGGAGGGAAGGGGGTAGGGGAGAAGGGGAGGGGTAGAGGAGGAAGGAGGGGGAGAGGGAGGGAAGGAGGGGGAGAGGGAGGGAAGGAGAGGGGAGAGGGAGGAAGTCATAGAGAGATGTTTTGTTGTTAAGTGTGGCGTAAGGCACCTTCCCCTCTCCCCTTCCCCTCTCCCTTCCCTCTCCCCCCCGGTCCAGGTGTCGTGGTCACTATGGTCATCGCCTCTTAAGTCATGTGTACACCTCTTTCTACCTGGCATTATGTGCACCTCAAATGCATCGTGTACACACCTTTCTCCCGGGATATGTGCACCAATCCAATATGTACTTTTCTCCGATCTCATGTACACCTTCAATGCATTACCTATGTACACCTTTCTCCGATCTCATGTACACCTCAATGCATTACCTATGTACACCTCTCCTGGGATATGTACACCATCCAATCCAATGTGTACACCTTTCTTGGATCACATGTACACCTCCAATGGAACGTGTACACCTGCCCTATATACATCTTGTACACATGTCTGTACGTCTCTTCTGGACCACATGTACACCTCCTGCATCACACGACTGTACTGTACACCTCTCCCTTGTCACATGTACACTGCTACGATCATGTACTGTACACCTGTCCGTGCCACATGTACACTTTACTGCGTCATGTACACTTTATTGCGTCATGTACACTTTTCTGCGTCATGTACAATTTAACTGAGGATAATATTATTATTCTTGCTTTTATTTGTGAAGTTTTTACCGTCTACCCTATCGTCTCTGTCTGTCTGTCTGTCTGTGGCTGTCTGTATGCGATTGTGTCTATAATAATAATAATAATAATAATAATAATAATAATAATAATGACTTGTTATTTTAGTACCAGATTATACTATACATTATTTTTTTCTCTCTCTCTCTCTCTCTCTCTCTCCTCCCTTTCCTACACTCCCTTCCTCTATCTAACTTCTCCCCCTCCCCACACCCCACCTCCCCACCCTCCCCCACCTCCCCCACCCCTCCCCACCCCACCTCCCCCCTACCCCTCTTCCCTCTTGATATTTCTATATACGCTGGGTTACCGTCCCATCTTTCTTTTATTATGTTCTACCACACCCACCACCACACCACACCTTTACTACCACACCCCCACCACACCACCCCACCACACCCACCACCCCCACACCACACCTTACTACCACACACCACCACCCCCACACACACCTTACTACCCACCCCCACCACCACACCACACCACCACACCACACCACACCACACCCCACACACACACACACACCCACCACACACCACACACACACACACACTACCCACACCCCCACACACCTTTACTACCCACACACACCACACCACACCACACCCCACCACACACACACCCCACACCCCCACACCACACCTTTACTACCACACCCCCCACCACACCACACAACACCACACCAGGCCAGGGTATAGTGTCTCTCACCATCAACTAACACAGGGACGTTTTTCTTCATCACAGGTTGAAGGCTGGAGTGTGAAGCTAGCCAGTGAGAGACGGAATGCAGTGTCACTACGTTATGGTGAGCTGACACACCTCTCACCATCATCCCTCTCACCATCATCCCTCTCTCATCTTCGTCCCCCTCACCTTCATCCCTCTCACCATCATCCCTCCTCACCATCATCCCTCTCACCTTCATCCCCTCTCACCTTCATCCCTCTCACCATCATCCCTCTCACCTTCATACCCTCCTCACCCCTCCCTCGACCCATCATCCCTCTCACCATCATACCTCTCACCCCTCCCTCTCACCTTCATCCTCTCTCCATCATCCCTCTCACCATCATCCTCACCTTCATCCCTCTCACCATCATCCCTCTCACCCCTCCCTCGATTCTGTGAGGGGGCAAGGGATGGGAGGATGGTCAGGGAGGTGGTGGAGGAAGAACGGAGCTGGTAAGGGGAAGAAGGATGGGAAGGAAGGAAGAGGGCGACACGGGGAGGGAGGAGGGAAGGGGGGAGGGAAGGAAGGAGAGACGAGGTTGACTTATGAGCATTAGTGGTGATATCTTAATAGTGAGTGTTGGGGGAGGTTAAATGGGGAGTAGGGATGGGGAGAAGGGGGGTGGGGAGGAGAGTAGGGATGGGAGGAGGGTAGGGATGGGGAGGAGGGAGGGTAGGGGTGTAGGGATGGGAGGAGGAGAAGGGGAGTAGGGATGAGGAGGGATGGGAAGGGGTGTAGGGGATGGGAGAGAGAATGGGGGTGGGGAGGAGGGGTGTAGGGGTGGGGAGGAGGGTTGGGTATGGGGAGGAGTAGGGGTGGGGTGTGTGGGATGGGGAGGGAGGAGTAGGGGGGTGGGGAGGGGTGTGGGGATGGGAGGAGGGTAGGGTGGGAGGGAGGTGTGAGGGGTGGGGTAGGGGTGGGGAGAGGGTAGGGATGAGGAGTAGGGGTTGGGGAGGGGGTAGGGATGAGGAGGAGGTGGGAGAAGGATTGTAGGGATGGGGAGAAGGGTGTAGGGATGGGGGAGGTGGGGAGTGGGGTGGGAGAAGGGGTGTAGGGATGGGGATGAGGGATGGGGAGAAGGGGAGTAGGGGTGGGGGAGGAGGGGTAGGGGTGGGGGAGAAGGGGTGTAGGGGTGGGTGTTAAAGACAAGTTGGCCATGATAAGTTGTGAGGTAAATAATAATGAGTGTTAAGGTGGAGGAGGTGAGAGGGGTGATGAGAGGGGTGAAGGGGAGGGAGATAGTTAGTGTGTGTTACTCTTGATAATATTAATCTTGTTTTTGTCTTTCAGTACTATGAGATGTCGTATGGACTTAACGTGGAGATGCACAAGCAGGTTAGTACTGTACACCCTTGTTTCACCCTTTATTCTCCCTTGTTTTACAGTTTCTCCCTTATTTCACCCTTATTCTCCCTTGTTTCACCCTTCGCCCTGGGTATGTTCCGTCTCGCTTATCCTCCCCCTGGCCTCTCCCTTCTCTGCCTTATTCACCCTCATTTCTCTCCCTGTTATTTGATGTTTTCTCCCTTGTGTTGTTGTCAAGTTAAGACAGACAGATTTGATTAGGTTAGTGAGTGTGACTGAGTACCACACACACACACACACACGTACACACACACACACACACACACACACACACGTACACACACACACGTAATTACGAAGCAAGAATGACTCTACGATGAAAAACATTATTAATATGAAGATGGCGTGCGTCTCCTCCCCGCCTCTCCTTCCTCTCCCTTCTCCCTCACCTTCTCTCCCTCCCCTTCTCCCTCACCTTCTCCTCCCCTTCTCCCTCACCTTCTCTCTCTCTCTCTCTCAGCTTAAGCTTTTACTGTTTACTTCATGGTGGTTAAAACTGTGTGTGTGTGAAGCTGACAGTTAATGCTTTCTTCAGAGGCTTTAATAAAACAACTAACCTAAACAGCTTTTCTACATTAAAGGTTGAACAAAAATGAAATAAATTCCTCGTGTATATTAGGAAGTTTTAATAAGTCTTACGTTAAGTGAATTTATTATTATTATTATTATTTTCAGTGAGTTTTATTAAATGCTGTTCCATTTTCCTCTACAGTCCAAAATAGAATGAGAAAATAAGAATGAAAGTTAATCAAATTCTCTCTCTCTCTCTCTCTCTCTCTCTCTCTCTCTCTCATATCCACAATTAAAGAAAATAATCCAACTCTCTCTCTTTCTCTCTCTCGCCAACAGACAGAAATCGCCAAGCGGCTCAACGCCATCATTGGTCAGGTCCTTCCCTTCTTGTCCCAGGAGGTGAGTAAAAGTCAGGTCAGGTCAGGTCAGGTCAGGTGTACTGTGGTGTAGTTATATTGTTAATGGTACCTCTATATACTTAGGGTTTATTTTTCCCCTTTGAAGTTAGTTGTAATTAATTTTGACATCACAAGGAGAGTTTTTGTTTTGCGTGTTTGTTTTGTTTGTGTTTGTTTTTGTTTGTGTTTGTTTTTGTTTGTGTTTGTTTTGTGTTTTGTTTGTGTTTGTTTTGTTTGTGTTTGTTTTGTTTGTGTTTATTTTGTTTTGTGTTTTGTTTTGTTTTGTGTTTTGTTTTTGTTTGTTATTGTTTTGTTTGTGTGTTTGTTTTGTTTGTGTTTGTTTGTTTGTATTTTGTTTTGTGTGTTTGTTTGTGTGTTTGTTTGTTTGTGTTTGTTTTGTTTGTGTTTGTTTTGTTTGTTTTTGTTTTGTTTTGTGTTTGTTTTTGTGTGTTTGTTTTGTTTGTGTTTGTTTTGTGTGTTTGTTTTGTTTGTGTTTGTTTTGTTTGTGTTTGTTTGTGTGTTTGTTGGAGGATTTGGTGAATGGGGTAGATTAATTACAGGTGTGGGGGAGGAGGGTTGGTGGTGGTGAGGGTAGGAGGGAGGAGGTGTGTGTGGGGGAGGTGGGGGTGTGTGTGTGGGTGGGTGGGGGGGGTGTGGTGAGGTGTGTGTGTGGGTGTAGGTAAGTGGGTTAGGTGGTGTTGTTGTTGTTACAGCACCAGCAGCAGGAAGTCGACGGCGGTGGAGCAGGCCAAGCAGGTCACCATGACGGGTTGAACGCCATCATCAGGGGTGAGTTAGTCCTTCTTCTCTTCTCTTCCTCCCTCTATCATGTTCTCTTCCTTCTCTATCATGTTCTCTTCCTTCTCTATCATGTTCTCTTCCTTCTCTATCATGTTCTCTTCCTTCTCTCTCATGTTCTCTTCCTTCTCTCTCATGTTCTCTTCCTCCTCCTTTATCTTCTTCCCTCTATCTTATTTCCTCCTGCTCCTCCCTTTCTTCCTCCTCTTCTCCTCCTTTATCCACTTGTTCCTCTTTTAGTTACTTTGTTTACCATAATCTTAGCATTAACTGAACACTTTTAACGTCTTAATGTAGTGATTCAAGAGTTAAGCTGTTAAGCCATCAGACAGTAATAACTACAGCTTAATGGTTGTCTTAATAAATTCTGTAGTGGATTGAAATAGAGTAACTGTAGCCTGGTTACTGTGATTTGAGTGTTAGGTTTTACTGGTGGTCAAGGCGAGTACTGATTGATGATGGTTGGTGGTGGTTTTTGGTTGCAGCAACAGATGCACGCCCAGGCAGGCATTCCCCATGGTGCCCACGCCCCGACGTTGCCCATGGCGCCCCACCCGTCCTTGGCTGGCATGCCGGGTTTGCCTCCGTCCACCGCAGCTCCGCCTGGCCTTCTGTCCGCTGTGTCGTCCGCCTCCATCATGGGCCTCCCCACACCCCTCTCCGTGCTGGGTAAACCTGACCTGGGACGATCTGACGAGAAGCGGGAGAGAGCCGAGGACCGCGCCGCTGCCCTCCTGGATGAGCAGGCCGTGAGTACTAACACCCTCCTCTCTCTCTCTCCCTTAGTCTCACATAACTCTACATTGTCTCTTGCCTCGACTTCAAGACACAGGCGACTACCATCTCAAAATGTATATATATCTCTCTATCTCTTTTCCCTTACCTGCCCCTGCTTGGTTGTACCTCCATTCCCCCTCCTTGTCTCACGTACCCCCCTTTGTCTCACGTGCCTTGTCTCACATACCCTCCCTCATCCCTTCAGCTATAGTAAGGGTGTGGTGATCTCGCAGGTGTGGGTTGTGGTGGTATAGCCAGGGGGTGAGGGAGGAGGGAAGGAAGGAGGAGGTGAGGGAGGGAGGTAGTGAGGGAGGTGGTGAGGAGGAAGGTGGTGAGGAGGAAGGTGGTGAGGAGGGTGAGGAGGAAGGTAGTGAGGAGGTGGGGAGAGGTAGTGAGGAGGGAGGTGGTGAGGGCAAGGTAGGTCACTCGGCCTCATGGGAACAGGACCTGAAGTGTCTCTCCTTATTTCCTATTACCATGATAATTACATTTCTCCAGTGGTGTCAGCTTGAATCTTTACAGTGGTTTCAGCTTAAATTTTTAGTGATTTAAGCTTAGATTTTATAGTGGTATCAGCTTCCTACATCATACCCGTGTCAGTTTGAGTATGATGAAAGAACAGAGGCTTATCTTTTTAAATGTCTAGATTGAAGGCTTTGTATATCAAGCTTTGTACACCAAGCTTTGTATATCAAGCTTTGTACACCAAGCTTTGTATATCAAGCTTTGTACACCAAGCTTTGTATATCAAGCTTTGTACACCAAGCTTTGTATATCAAGCTTTGTACACCAAGCTTTGTATATCAAGCTTTGTACACCAAGCTTTGTATATCAAGCTTTGTACACCAAGCTTTGTATATCAAGCTTTGTATATCAAGCTTTGTATATCAAGTCTTTTGCGTATAATAATGCTCTCAGCCACATATATAAATGCTCCCTCTGCCACAGAAATAATGCTCCCTCTGCCACATATATAATGCTCCTCAGCCACATAAATAATGCTCCCTCTGCCACATATATAATGCTCCCTCTGCCACATATATAATGCTCCCTCTGCCACATAGATAATGCTCCCCCTGCCACATATATAATGCTCCCTCAGCCACATATATAATGCTCCCTCTGCCACATAAATAATGCTCCCTCTGCCACATAAATAATGCTCAGTCTACCTTATAAACGATGCTCTAGTTAGTCTGTAAATAACAAGCGAACAGAAGTCGATTGTCGGGAATTATGATGTGGAACGTGTGGGTGTGACTGGGTGGGTGTGGGTGGGTGGGGTGTTTTAGAGCTCTGTATATTATCTGGAGTGCTGGCAGTGGGCGTTCGGGGGACTGTTTGTTAGGGTGTGGGTGGTAGGGCGGCCTGTTTCCCACCTCACACCACCCCACTCCCCCCCACCCACGCCCGCCCACCCAGTTGGATTACCGGCTGCCTAGGTGGTCCATGAAGTCATCTCTGGCCATTCATTGACAATTACGCGCCCGCTCCGATTTCTTGGTCGTTAGGGGGGTGGGGAAGAGGGCGGGGGGGAGGGTGGGGTGTGAGACTGGCGGTGGTGGGAAAGGAAGAAATGAGGAGGAAGGGGGAACGAGGGGCGTAGTGATGACGTTTAGTAGAGGTGTTGTGTAGGGTGAGGTGGAGGGTGACGGGTGAGAGCGACGGGTGAGGGTGAGAGCTACTGAGGAATTTTATGAGTGTTTTAATAGCAGGCAGAGAGAGAGGCTCTACGGATGAAAGGAAGGGATAGTGAGCAAGGGGAGAGAGTTTGAAGAAGGAAGGAATAGGGAAGAGGAGGAGAATTGAATTGAAACAGTTTATTTAGCGTTAAAAAAACCCCGACACAGAGTGGATAATAATAACAAATTTAACATGGCTGAGAACCTGAGCTGCACCTGATACATACTGTCATTTATCTCAGGGAAGGAGAGGAAGGGAGGAGGAGGAAGGAGGGGGAGGAAGGAGAGGAAGGGGGAGAAAGGAGGGAGGAGGAAGGGAGGAGAGAATAAAATTATCACCTCTAGGCAGACTATATGTAACGCTAAATCAAAGAGAACCCCCCAGATCTGTGGGCCCCCCAGATCTAATGGGCCCACAGGACTATAGGACCCAGTTTAAGAATACGCTAGGGACCCATTTGACCTGTCATGTGGGGGGGCTTTCCTCCTTCCTTTCTTCCCTCCCCTTCCTCCCTCTCCTCTCCCACTAACCCTCTCTCCTCCCATTCCACCCCCCCCACCTCCCCTCTTCTCCCTCTCCATTTTTCTCCCGTTCTTTTCCCTCCCCGTCCTCAGTGTGTGTGTGTGTGTGTGTGTGTGTGTGTGTGTGTGTGTGTGTGTGTGTGTGTTTTCTCTCCCTGTCTCAGTAAACAGATAAGACGGTTGGCCTCTATCGTCCGACCGGATGTCTGTCCTGTCGTGCCCCCCTCCTCTCTCTCTCTGTGGCAAGTATCTCAGAACCAGACTTTCTGAGTAATTTAAAGTAATCTATGACTTTCTTTCCTTTACTTTATTTCCCCTCAGACTTTTTTCCCAGGTAGCTTAAATTAATTCTTTTAATCTTTTTCCTTCGCCTCCCCCCTCCTCCCTCCGTCATTTACCTTGGAAGAACTCGTACCAAAGATTAATTCCCGTCTGATATATATATATATATATACTTTTTTCCCCCCAGAGATTTTTATGTTTACTTCTCGGACCAAAGCTTTTATTTTGCCTTGCAAAAAAACATTTTTCCCTGATTTTTTCTTCCAATTTTTACTCTTAGATATTAAGGTTTTTTTTTTCCTGTTGGTTTAATGTTTTTTATGTTTGTTTTAATGTTAGTGATAACATTTTGGTTTAAGTCAGGTTAGGTTAGGTTAGGTCAGGTCAGGTTAGGTCAGGTTAGGTTAGGTTAGGTTAGTAGGTTATTATTTTATTAACAATTTTGTCAGTTATGTTAATTTTAATGTTACTGTGGTAAAGTTATGGTGGTAAGTATAGTGAAGCTAGTATGGTGTTGTCATGGTAGAGAGTATGGTGACGGTTATAGTGATATAGTGAAGCTAGTATGGTGTTATCATAGTAAGAGAGTATAATTGGCCAGTATGGTGAGCCAGTATGGTGGGACAGTATGATGGTGTGACGTCTCCACCCATATCAAATTCCATTCCTTCATCACCGTAATGTGTTGCTACCTTACACTCCTCCTCTCCTCTCCTCCCCCACTCGCCTCTCCTCCCCTCGCCCTCTCCCTCCCCTCGCCCTCTCCCTTCCCTCGCCCTCTCCTTCCCTTCCCTCGCCCTCTCCCTTCCCTCCTCTCCCTCCCCCTCGCCCTCTCCCTCCCCCACTCGCCCTCTCCCTCCCCTCGCATCTCCCTCCCCTCGCCCTCCCTCCCACTCGTCCTCTCTCTTCCCCTCGCCCTCCTCCTCCCCACTCGCCCTCCTCCTCCCCCTCGCCCTCTCCCTTCTCACCCCCTCCCCTCCTCCATATTAGTTGTCCTCATAACGAGAGACTGGTGTGTTCACTGATGCGGACGACCCTCTTTCCTCTCCCGTCCTCGTCTCCCTCTTCCTCTCCCTCCCGGAGGTGATGAGAGAGGAAGTGGAGTAGCTGTTTCCTTCTGTGTCAATTTCCTCCTCACCCCCCCTCCTCCCTTCCTCCCTCCACCAGGTGACACTACAGGCCCCTCATGATACTGGTGGTGTAGTGTTCCCTCCTCCTCCTCCCTCCTCCCTCCCTCCCTCCTTCCTTCCTTCCCTCCCTCAGTGATCTTGTTTGGGAGGAGTGGTTGTGGTTGTGGGCGTAGGGAGGTGGCTGTGGGCGTGGGGGAGTACAGAGGGTAGTTTGGTTAGGTGGTTGATGGTGGTAGTAGTGGTAGGTTGGTTAGTTGATGGTGGTGGTAGTAGTGGTAGGTTGGTTAGTTGATGGTGGTGGTAGTAGTGGTAGGTTGGTTAGTTGATGGTGGTAGTAGTGGTAGGTTGGTTAGTTGATGGTGGTAGTAGTGGTAGATCTTGTCCACTGTGAGTAGTGACAGTCAGCTGTTACATGTAAACAAGTGAGAAACAGCTGTTGTATGTAAACACGTCGGTATCAGCTGTTTTTTGTCAACAAGTGCTGGTGGCCTGTGATGACTCTGTGTGTGTGTGTGTATGTGTGTGTGTGTGTGTGAATAATTATGATCATGGTTGAGACGACACGTAAAATATGCCGTTATGACCTCACGACAAATTTTATGTATGGCGGACTACACACACACAGTCCCCGTCGGTTGGATGGTCATTAGGTCGTGTGAGGGCGAACTAACCCAATTATCTCTCTCTCTCTCTCTCTCTCTCTCTCTCTCTCTCTCTCTCTCCAGGTTCCCATGACCACAAGGTGTGAGGAGCTTGGGGCAAACGGGATCATGTTAACGGGGGCAACGGAATCATGACAACGGGGGTGTTCGACTGTTTTATAGGGTAGTAGGTTAAACGGGAGACGGATCAGTGGGTTAACGGGACAACAGGTGGGATCAACGGTAATAACGGTACAGAGTTCAGTATTACGGGTCACTGGGGACATGAGAGAGGAGGCGAGAAAATGACCTGTTGGCAATGTTGATAAAGGAGAGAGAGATAACTCTTATCACTTGTATCCGTAGCTAAGCCTTCTCTCTCTCTCTCTCTCTCTCTCTCTCACTGTGTGTATGTGTATCTTGTACATGTGTGTGTCTGTCTGTGTGCACCTCGCCTTTCATGGTCCCTTCCTCCTCCTCCTCCCCTTCCTTCCCCTCCTCCACCCCTTTCCTTCCCCTTCCCCCCCCTGTTTGCACGCTGGAGTGACCATATGGCAGCTGTGTCGATGTACTCCTCCTCCTCCAGTTCCTCCTTGCTTCCTCTTCCTCCCCCCCCTCCTCCTCTCCCCTCTCCCCTCCTCCTCCCCCCCCCCCCCTCCTCGGTACTAGAGCAACGTCTCCCGGTCACGTGACGAGCGTGTCGGTCACGTGACTA